GCCCCAGATCTGCTTAGGCCTGGCTAATCACTACAGGACTCCACAAGGCCATGAGATACTCACATAGTGTGACTAGTCGGACCAAAGTGCTAAGTGAATTGGGACAGAAGGAACAGAGAGGAAAAAGAAGTCCATAAAAGGGATGAACAGCTGGTAATTACCTCCACATCTGCATTTGGAGAGCTCTCCTTGGGGTTATAGTCAAAGACAGCCACCATCCTGCGAGGGGTCAGCAGCTCTGCCTCAATGTCTTTGTCCTTCTCTCCTGCAGGATAAACCCAAATCATCCTGAGCTGGAAGCACTAGGACAAAATCCCAAATCACTGTGACTCCTTCACTGTTATTGTCAGGGCCTCAGCAAAAACAGTACTGAGGGAAACTGAATGGAGAGAGATCTTAGGGACACTTGCTGAAGCAGTTTTCTGACCTCCTGTACCACCACTTCATGAGCACAAAAGTGGGGACATCTCCCCATCCCAGCATCCTGCTGTCCTGTCCATATGTAGGAATGGTTTATTTTATGTTTTCTATTAATACACACACACATATATATATATATGTGCATTTGTGTGTACAGATATGCACAGAGGACAGCAATCTCTGCAGGGTGTCTGGAATGGATATTTCTCCTCCCACTACACAATGATCTGCTAATGAGCTACAAAATTTAGCCTTCTACGGGATAAATTCCCTTCTGCCAGGGAAACAGCACAAAGGGAATGTAGGGAACACACTACCTGCCTGCTCAGCCTCAATACTTCCAGACCTGCTCTGAGCCTACAAAAGCCAAGTCTGGTGTTACAGACAACATATACTGTTCAGTCCATTTCCTGGACTGAAACCCTGTCTCAGGTCAGCCCTGGATGGGCTGCCAAGGGGTTTGCAGGCTTGGCCTCTCTGGGCATCAGCAGATGAGTTTGCACCTAGGCAGAGCGAGCACTCTCCCAAGGAAACTTGGATCCTCAGGAGCACAGCATTGCATGAGCAAGAGATTTCCTGGCTCCTCTCTGCTTAGTCAAAGGCCTCTGCACCCACTGCTAAATTAAAACAACTAAAACTCTTCTTACAGTGCTCTGAAGCAGTTCCACAGGGTCTTGCACTGCCCCTTGACCACAAAACATGTCTGTGTTTGGTAAAAAAGAGCAATTCTCACCTGGCTGAGACTTGTACTTCTCCTGCTTCTCCAGCCCTGCTGGGGAAAGAAAATGGCTCATCAGTGAGACTTCATCTTCCAACAGTGAGCACAAGACACAACTGATAAACACCAATAAAAAGAACAAAGACCAAGGCAGCAAACAACAGAAGCAAAACTGTTCATGCAACTCAAAGTCTACAGCAGTAACCAGAACTCAGGGACAGGACAAGAAGCAGAGATCAAGCTCCAAAACTATCCAAGACATCACTGTGGTTAAAAACTTAACACCAGCATAGGGATGGGCTCTGCTTCCACTTCCTAAGCAGTCAGAGACAAACATCTGTGGGTCCTGGAAGCAAGCAGTAAAAATTCAAGGCAGGCTGTAAGCCTAGTGCAAAAACCAAAGAGGAAGCAGTGGGTGCCACAGACCTTTCTTGGAGCGTCTGGGTTTTGGAGGAGGGACGGTTTGGCCACGTGGAGGTGGAGAAAATGTGCCATTTCCTTCATAAAAACACCAAAAAAAGCAAATAAATAGACAAGAGAAACAGACAGTGAATGGCAAGTGAAAAGCATCTTGAAGAGTGAACAGGTAACAGAGCAGCAGGAGGTGCCTGAAAGCTGACAGGAGGATTTCTGGGGATTCAGATGAGATACGATCCACATCCCAAATCCACACCATGCTAATGCCTTTCCTGATCCACATCCCAAATACACACAGCAATCCACCTTGTGCCAATGCCTTTTGTGATCCATATCCCAAATCCACACAGAAATTCACACTGTGCTAATGCCTTTTAGCCATTCCACAGCAGACAGACTTCATTTTATCTTCCAGAAGCAGCATAATAAGGACAGAGTAAAACCTTGTCCCATTAGCACCTGGGAGATGCCAGGTGAGGTGCAGCCCATTAGCTCACTGAGGTGGGAAGGGTTGTGGGGAAGTCTCTAGCTAAAGCTTCTGCACTGAGCAGGGCCAAGACTGGCTGAAATCCCCAAGAAACCTGCAGGAGGAGTGCCCAGACCAACCCCTCTGAGTTACAAGGCTGTGAGATGGCTTAGTGGCAGCAGGAAAACAGCAGAGGCACAGCCAGATCCACTAAGGTTGGAAAAGACCTACAGGATCAAGTCCAACCCCCACCTGGCTGCACCTCTTGTCAGGCAGCTGTAGAGAGCAATAAGGTTCCCCCTGAGCCTCCTTTTCTCCAGGCTGAGCTCTCTCAGCTGCTCCTCATATGACTTGTGCTCCAGGAATTTCCTTGTGTTTTAACAAGAGGAGCAGGTCCAACAATTGGCACACTGGTGGCAGAGAGGACACAGAGAGGTGCAGGATGAGATGGGGAGGGAGAAGGAACAGGCATTGGGCCACCAGTGCTGACAGCAGGAGCAGCTCACAGCCACTGAGTCTGACTCAGCCTGAGCTGTGCTGGCCACATATCCCAGGGAAGGTTCCTCTCCTCTCTCCAAGTAGTGGGAAGAAACAGGGAACTCTCTGCAGTGCCCAAAGCATAGAGCCACATACTTCAGAGAGCAAATAAGGAGCAACCCAAGGACTACCAAATCTGCTCCTTGTACACTCCTATCTGCCTACTTTGCTGTCTTACCTCTTTCCTTCCCCCTCCCCATCTTTCTCCAATCCCAATCACAGATTCTGCTCTTGCAGGGTGACCCTCATGGGATCAGTTACAGACTCTCCAAACAAAGGAGAGAACACAGGATTCAAAACTCTTGTTGACATCCTTCAGCCCCCCTCTCCAAACCTTTTTGCTTCCCCTTCTCCAGCAAGGGTCAGCCTCACTCCCACTCTGTGCTGAGTTCACACACCTCAAGCACAGGAGCAGCTCCAGCAGCTGCAGTGGAGTCAGGAATGACCTGAGAGCTCAGAACACCTCCCTCAGACATCAAGACCTCCCTGCTTGCTCCTGCAGCAGCCACTAAACCAGCTGCAGATGCCAGGGCCCAGCCCTACAGATGGTTTTGGTGGGCTGGACTGGCCACACAGCTTGAGAACAGAACTGAGCTTTGCACATTTGAGTAAAAGAACCTCTTGCCAGGAGCAGGGTACACCCAGAGGCAGTACCTAGGCTCTCCACAGGTGTGTCAGCAGGCAGGAAGCCTTGTTTTAGGAGCTGCTTCTTCAGCTCATTGTTCTCCACCTGGACTTCTGACACCATGTTGCATGGAATGTATCCCTCCCTTCCTGCACATTCACCCCTGTAAAAGCCATCAGCATCCTTGTCTCCACAGACCTGCAAAGGAAAAGACAGGTCAGAGGCTGTTAATGCTGCAGAGAGTGTACAGAGAATCATGGACTATCCTGAGCTGGAAGGGACCCACAAGGATCCTCAGTCCAACCCCTGCCCTGCCCAGGACAGCCCAACAATCCACCCTGTGCCTGAGAGCACTGGCCAAACACTCCTTGAGCTCCATCAGGCTTGGGGCCATGACCACTGCCCTGGAGAGCTGTTCAGTGCTCAAACACCCTCTGGGGGAAGAACCTTTTCTTGATATCCAACCTAAACCTCCCCTGACACAACTCCAGCCATTCCCTCAATCCTATCACTGGTCACAGAAAGCAGAGATCAGTGCTGCCCCTCCACTTCCCTCATGAGGAATCTGCAGATCTCCCAAGGCTTATGCTGCCCTTGGAACACCAGATGGATCCATACAGAGCAGATGTTTCCTAAGGTGTACTCTTACTTTTAGGATCTGTCCCTCCTTAAATGGGAGCTCCTCTTCAGCTGCATCAGGGTTAGGAGACATGGAGACAGGATCATAGTCAAAGAGAGCCACAAATATTCTGATGCCATCATCTTCGCCAGAGGTTTGGGGAGCAGTGCTCCTTGGAGGACCTGTGTACAGAAGGAGAACATCAGCATCATTCCCAAGCCCTGCATGGTGCTCCCTGCTAGCCTCTTCCCTGCCTTGTCCAGCAGTTTCCCTCTCTCCCTGCTGCCCACTCACCTGGGCTAGAGAGCAAAGGTTTCTGCATTTGGCTTCTTCTCATGCTCCTGCTCCTTCTCCTGCTGGGAGCCTGCCAGGAAGCTGTGCCAGGCAACTCCTGCCCCCTGGAATCTTTATTACTGGATGCCTGCAATTGGAACCAGGAGAGAGTTAGTAACAGCCTCTGCCTTCTGACTCACTGAACAGAGCTCAGCCCAAATGCACTCCACAAAGAGCAGAGCATCCAAATGCAACATTCCTCTTCAGGGACACTGAGAGCTGCAAACACCAAGGGAGTTGGAAAACAGGACTGAGGACAGGCACAGGCACCCTGCCAGGCACCAGTGATGATCCCCTTGGAGAGGGTGAGGCTGCAGGAAAGGGCATTTCGAGGGGAGGCAATGATAGTAGTCAGGATGTACACAAAGCTTTCACAAATCAGCTTATTTCAGCAGGGATTTGGGTCCCAGAGGCTCCTGCCCTGGGGAGGAAGACCCAGAGTGAAAAGGAATACTGCATCGGTGCCACTGGGTCAGGGAGCAGGAAAAGCAGAAGCAGCTAATACAAGAAAAGCAGCACAGAACTACAGAATCTCTCAGCTATTCTTCCAGACAATCCTAGAGGAGCTTCCTTTGCTCTGGACAACACTGAACAAAGCAAGATACAGGCAGGCCAGGGAAGCAGAGGGAAGCTAAGAGCCACTGCAAGCTGCTGCAAAGGCAGAATAGGAAAAGTCACCCAACCCTTTTGTGCAAGGAGGTGCTACGTATTCCCTTCGAAGGATGTTGGAGCCTCCTTCTCCAGCCAGGTGACTTACAGTCCAGCTCCCAGCCCTGCTCCTCAGAGCTGCTCTCACCCCTCAGGGCTTCCTTCTCCTGGCACAGGAATCGCAGGCGCCGGCCTGGAGCTCCAGCCCACTCCACATCCTGCTCTTCCAGCAGCTCCAGCCTGCTCAGGTCCCTTCTGTCATCTGTGTGGGCAACCTCAGACTGACTGGAGCAATCACTCCAGTCCCCGGGGCAGCTCTGGGCTCTTTCTGGCCACAGCCTGCTCTCAGGGGAGGATGCACAGGTTGAATCCTGATCATCTTCTGAGTCGTATTCAATGTCTATTTCCAGGCTCCTGGGGCTGCAGCAGAGTGTTGTCATCCCAGCAGATTCTGCACCCCCTGACACTACTGATTTGGGGGGTTTCTTCCTTAAGGTGCTTTGTCTGGCACGACTGTACACATCCAAGCCCTCCTTACCACCACTGCTGACAATGTTGAGCTCTTCCCTAAGGCTGGGAGCTCTGTATAACCCACTGCCCATCTGACTGCAGTTGCCCAGTAGACGACTGCAGTGCTCTGGGAGATCATTCTGTCTCTTCCTCCCCACCTCAGGCCGATTCCTGATCTTCTCTCGATATTTACTGCCCTTCTTCTTGTTCCAAGAGGGATTTGCCCCATTCCCAGACTTTGGCTCGTTCTCCTGGTAGCCCCAATTCCAGTTTGTCTTCTTCTGACTCCAGGCCAGTTGGCCAAAGGCAGGATTTGCATGGTCAGCATCTCCTCTGCTCTCCTTAGGACCAAGCTTCTCCCGTGGAGTCTGGGCAGACACATCCATGGAGGTGTTACTCCCATCTGCCTTCAGGGATGGTTCCTTGTTGGGTGGCTTCTCTGTTCTTCCTGTGTGTGTTTCCAAGGAGTCTTGAGAGGCTGTTTTATCTTCCTTACCACACTTCTCCTCCTCCTCTTCATCCTCATCTTCAGTCACTTCAGGGATGCTAAACAACTTCTTGCTGTGGCTCTTCTGAAGTGGAAGCTCCAATATCCTCTCCAGAATCTCCTCATCGCTGTCAGTATCACAAAGATCCATCTGTACCCAGACCCAGAGAAAAGCCACAGGCAGGACAAGCAAAGGGAAAAAGAGAGGAGAGAACCATTAAAAAGAGAGACAAAGTGACAGCTGATTCCCTCCCAGCGCAGCAGGATGGAGGCGGCTGTGGGCTGCAGCGAAGCAAGGCGAGGGGGTAAAGAGCAATGGATCTTCTGGCAAAGACAGTTGGATGAACCAGCAATGCAGCAGGAAGCAAGGAAGGCAAATGCATGGAAGAGCTCCCTCCCAGCCTCTGTCTCTGCACACACAACTCCCTGCAGCATCTCTCATCCTGCCACATTATTCCTCACAGCTTCAGCACCCTCAGTTTGGGATGAGGAGCAGGAGAAGCAAATCCCTCCGCACCAGAGCTGACAGGGCTTCTCCCTCAGCAGGACTGAGCCTCAGCCTGTGCTCACACAAGCACTCACAGTCCCCCCATTACCTCTCTGTCCTGGCACTGGAGCAGAGGGAAGTGCCCCTGTGCAGTAAGACACCCCTTGGAGATGTTGCTGCCACGGGAGGACCTGCCCTGGACCCTTCCCATCACCTACAGCAGGTTCCTGTCTGCAAATCCAGGGAAGCAAAGTTACCACAAACACACAGGAAAACCCTTTATCTCAAAGGGTCACACAGACTTGGGGTTCACTTGCAGCTGGGTAAGAGCCTACCAGGCTCCATAAAACTTTTGGGATAGATCTGTGCTGCCCCTGCACGGAGGAAGCTGCAGATCCCATGAGTCTCCCCTCAGTCTCCCCTTCTCCAGGCTGAACAAGCCAAGTATCCTTGGCAGCACCTTGTACAGCCCCTCCAGGCTCTTCACCATCCTTGTAGCCAGCACCAAGTCACTCACCAGGGCCAAGGCCAAAATATTCCCTCCCTGTTTTGCCTTAGGAGGAAGGTTGACTGGTACAGGATCTAGAGATGTTTATATCTGTGCTAAGAACTCAACCAATAGCATCGATTTCACTCTGGGTTCTAAAGTTCACTTCACGCTGCATGTTTTTCCAACTAATTAAACCCTGGCTGCATCCATTACATACAAACCCCCTTCCCTCTCCCAAGGAACTTTTGGGTTTACTATCTGGGAGTCAAAGCAGAGCAGGCAGGACCTTAGCCAAGCACTGTTGGGAGCACTGGGCTCAGCCCAGCACCTCCTCCTGGAGCTGATGGCATGGGATGGCTGCTGGAGCTCCCCACAAGCAATACTCTGGACTCAGTACCTTTTCCCCATTCTCCTGGTAACAAGGCTCTTTCTGCTCCCATTTCTTCTCTTCCAGAGCTTCTGAAGATAGTTCATCTTCTTCCTCCTCTTCCAGGATATCTGAGAGGTCAGAACTCCTGTTGTGCTCAGAGAAAAGGGTGAGCTGGCGGCGGCTCACGTCAGACACTTTTTCTTCTTGCTGCTGAAAAGCAAAACACATTTCCTCAGCCTTTCCAGGCTCTACTTCAGCAAGAAAACAGCATTTTTTCCCCTTCTCCAGTACATACACAACTCAAGTGTGGCAGGATAGACAGTGGGCAGTGACTGGCACATGTGTACACACACACACAGACACACAAAACCATCAGCTTCACTTCACAGCCTGCGACAGTTACTGCCTCAGGCTGGGAAACCTCAGTATGTCTGATACAATCCATTTGCCTCCACGGGCACATTCAGCCAAGGTTAAACAAACCTCTCTCTTCACTCTGGACACTTCTTTCATTGCCTCCTTGCCAGGGGACAGCTTCAGGAACTCCTGGCAACTGCCCCCACCCATGTTGGCATCCTGTGGCCCCTCAGCCTGGCTGGGGGAGGACACAGGCTCTGGGCTCAGGTGCTTCTCCTTTGCCTCTTTGTCAGCATCAGGACCTTTGGGTGACTCTTCCACAGAGCACACCTGGCAGGGCTCTGTGTGGAGCTTCACACTGCTGTCAGATGGGTTTTCCAGCTCTGGAGCTTTGCTTCCAGATTGCTCCATCTGGGAAAGAAACCAAAGACAGACCATAAACAACGAAATCCAGAGGAGGTATCTCACAGTACTTATGCATCAAAAGAGGGTCCTTATCACCCCAAATTCTCTGAGACAAACACTGTGGCTTGTGCTGTTGCCATAGGAATATTTGGCCAGGCAATTTGCAGCTGGGAAGGTTGGGAGGCCCTGGAGCAAACTTCTCCTTGTCACCAGCTGCAGACACATGAAGCTGCCACTGCTGCAGCTCTGGCCACCACATGGGGCTCAGGTAAGCCCCACAAGTGCATTGACAATGAGGTTCAGAGCAGCAAGAGCAGCCCAAGCTGTACAACAAGGTCATTTTCCACTCCCATGAGCCAGAGGAATGTCCTACACACCCCATGGCAGGTTAGCTTGGGCTGGAGGTGAGGACATTACCTCAGCTCTTCCGGGAGCTGTAAGGGCTGTAAGGAATCAATGAACAAGGATATACACAGAGAGTCCAACAAGCTCCTGTGATTAGGTCATGAAGTTGGATTATAGAAAATTTTCATCTGTTTTCCAACCAGTTCATTCTGGTGACTCAGAAAACCTCTGGGAAATGGAGGAATGAAGCCCCAGGAACAAGGAGGGTAAGGCCTTCATCAACCACCTCTTCTCTCCCTCTAAGCCCACACAGCCTCCACTGCATCTTTCAAGGGAGCAGAACCTTGTCTTCATGCACCAAGTACACTAAAGGATCAGACCCCAGGGACATTCAGACACTGCACTGTCAACTTCTAAATGTCCCCTGGGCTCAGACAAAAGCCAGACAGGCCCTGATCTCATCTGAGAGCTCTGTTTCCCCTTGTTGACAGCCAAGTGAAGACTCTATCTCGAGTGAGAAGGATGATTTGCATCCTAGGAACACCCATTTCACTCCAAGGACTACAAAGGAGGCAAAGCAACCAGCCCATGTGCAGCCATCTACAGCAGACATCTACATGTCTGAAGGAGACAGTGCTGGAGGCAGGTGAAATGCAGTGAGAGGCTCAAAGCAAGATAAAGGAAATCTGGGCTGGAACTGAATCCACTGAGCTACTGCCCTCACAGAAACCTCCTAGCACACCTGGAACACCTGAAGCTGGGACAAATCCAAGAAACTCTCCTGGAAGTGTTCCAGGCCAGGTTGAACCGGGCTCAGAGCAACCTGGGCTAGTGGAAAGTGTCCCTGGCAATGGCAGAGGGTCAGAACTGGATGATCTTTAAGGTCCTTCCAACTCAAACCATTCCAGGATTCTATGAAAAGTGGGTAAATGAATCAAACAGGTGACCTGAGGTACCGTGAGCTGCAAATGACCAGGGACTGATCATAGAAATTTTGGAGTCAACATCTCGATTCTTCTGGGTATATATGTGGCTTTTAGTCTTGGGCCCACAGAGCTGCTGATGCTCCAGCAGTTCTGAAGAGTCTTCTCTGCTTTTACCTAACTCTGAGTCTTAGCAAGCTCACAATGCCATGATTAATAGAGTCATGCTGAATTTAACAACTTGAAGCACTCCCCTGAGTCCTGATGTCAAAGGTCAGAATGGGAAATGGATCCTTATTCCTGTTATAATACATCCCACGCCAACAGGACCCACTTCCCTCTTGTCACAGAGTGAACACCTAATAGATCTGTTTTCTTATGGGGCCCTCAGACATCCTCTCCTGTGTCCTAAAAAGCCCTGAAAGCACTCACCCACCCTACAGAACTCCAAATACCCAATGTCAGGACAGTTTGCCATTCCCCAGCCTCGCTGAGTGCTCCACCACAGCCCTGTACAACCCCACCAGGCTGGAAAAGGTAGCTTCAAGTCAGGGAGCACAGCAATGCCAGGCTAACACAGACATCAGTGGGAACATCCCTTTCACCCTCTAACTCTGCAAATTCTTGCCTTCCTGACTCTGCTCCTGATCTGCTTTCATGTGTGATCAAGAGGTGAACTTCATCTTCCACGTACTCAACAGCAGCCAACAATCCCTGACGGTCTGTCAACCACTGGATGACAGCCCAAAGGCAACAGTGTGACCCACAAAGATGCTGACTGGCACTTTGTTCCATTTCCACAAATGTTCCATTCCCCTTCCCAGCACACATGGCACTGGGCAGGAGATGAAGCACTTACCTGCACCTCTGCCCCTTCACCCAGGCCTTGCAGTTCCAGTTCCTTGGCAGGACCAGGCTCTGTTCCCTCCCCAGGGAGCGCTGTGCTGCCAGCCTGCTGAGGAGGCACAGTCAGGCATTCCTTGTCTCCTGCAGTCTCCAATCCCTGTAGGGAAGTGCCTGAAGCCTGCACCAAGGAGGCAGGGGGAGAGGAGAGGTGTGGAGGTGGAGAGGCTTTCTCTGGCAGAGCCCGCACGGAGCTGGAGGAGAGCTCAGTCAATTTGGCATCTGAGCTATCAGCAGGAGCTTTGTGGTGGAGCAGCAGCACAGGCATGTGGGGTGTGGCTGGGCCCAGAGAGCCCCTGGGACCCACCCTGGGCAGTCTGGAGGTACCAGTGGTGGAGACAGATGAGGTGCAGTGAGGAGTCTGCAGCAGCACTGAGGAGATCTGGGCTGGAACCGAATCCACTGACTCTCCATACTGAGACATTGTCCTCACCGAGACCTCTCGGCACACTTGGAACATCTGGAGCTGGGACAAGTCCACCAGGACACTGCCAGCTGTTGGAGAAGTAACTTCTATCACCTGTAAGCAAAACCAAAAAAAACAGGGAGGAGTTACTTTTTGTGCACAGCTCAGGCATTCTGAGAAGAACTAGTCCTGACCCAAAGTTAGGGCAGATCCCAAAGCTCTTGAGAGCAGGTGGGCAGAACTCACCCTTCTGCACTAGGAAGAAGAGAGTCAAGAGAAACTATTATCATAACCATTTTAGACACTGGATAGTCTATAAACCATGACTATATTCACTCCTACTCCACGTTTTAACTCTCCTGTTCCCTGTGCTGTAAAGGGCTTTTCCCTTTTTTTAGCTTCCCTTTGGCCTGCCTTCCCAGACTGTGCTTTTTTCTTGACCTGGGCAGAGGAAAAAGCCTTTCCATGATAAAAGAGGAATTATCCAACACAGCACCATTCTGCTTTGCACTGTGCTCCTTCAAACAACTCTGGCTCAGCACAACAGCATGTGCAGAAGACCTCAGGGCACTTTTAACACAGAATATCCTTGAAGGTTCTGTGCCAGTATTTGTAGTGGTCCCTGGGGTGTTTGGAGAAAGAATCATAGAAAGCTTTGAGCTGTAAGGGACCTTAAGGATCATCTCATTCCACCCCCTGCCATGGACAGGGGCCCAGCTTGCCCAAAGCCCCAGCCAAGCTGGCCTGGAACACTTGCAGGGATGCAGCAGCCACAGCTTCTCTAGGCAACCTGTGCCAGTGCTTCACCACCCCCACAATGAGGAATTCCTTCCCAATATCCTATCTATCCCTGCCCTCTGGCAGTGGGAAGCCATTCCCACTTGTCCTGTCCCCACAGGCCCTTGTCCCAGATCCCTCTCCAGCTCTCCTGGAGCTCTTTTAGGCACTAGAAGGGGCTCTAAGTCTCCCTGGAGCCTTCTCTTCTCCAGGCTGGACATCCCCAGCTTTCCCAGCCTGACTCCATGGCATAGGTACTTCTGCCCTCACAGCACCTCCATGGTCTTCTCTGGACTTGCTCCAGCAGCTCCACATCCTTCTTACATTGGGACCACAGAGCTGGAGACAACACTGCAGGTGGGGTCTCACCTGAGAAGAGCAGAGGGGGAACATCCCCTCCCCTCAGCCTGCTGGTCACACTGCTTTTGATGCAGATTTTTTGATGGAGAGCTACACCTCACTCCTCACAGGCCAGAGACAAGCCCCAGGTGGTGGCAAGGCTGAGTACTTGGACTTGGACTTGTGCTCTGTCCATGCACTATGGACTCACTGAGCTCACTGCTTCCCCCAGGATCAGTGCCTTGGGTGAGCAGAGGAGATGACACTAATTGTTTGGCTAGTGAAGGGTCCTGCCACAGGAGCTTTCTTAGCTTAGTTACACCAAAACCACCTCAAAAATCTGGAGATATATCTTTTGTGGTGTACCTCACACCTCAAGTTATGTCCCTTTTCTGCTATAATAGAATCATAGAATTTCAGGGGTTGGAATGAAGCTTAGAGATCAACTAGTCCCAGTCCCCTGCCCTGGGCAGACATCCCTGGGCAACCTGTGCCAGTGTCTCACCACCCTCACAGGGAAAGCTTCTGCCTAAGATCTCACCTCAAATTCCCTCTGTCAATTTCTCCCCATTGCCCCTTGTCCTGTCCCTGCACTTCCTAACCCAGAGTCCCTCTGCAGCTTCCCTGGAGCCCCTTCAGCTCCTGGCAGGTTGCTCTGAGGTCTCCACTCAACCTTCTCTTCTCCAGGCTGAACAGCCCCAACTCTCTCAGCCTGTCCTCATAGGGAAGGTGTTCCAGTGCTCTGATCAGCTTTGTGGCCTCCTCTGGCCTTGCTCCACCAGTTCCATGTCCTTCTGCTGTTGGGGACACCAGAGCTGTGTGCAGCACTCCAGGTGGGTCTCACCAGACCAGAGTAGAAGGGGCAAATCACCTCCTTGGACCTGCTGCCACACTCCTTGGGATGCAGCCCAGGATTTGGTTGGCTTTCTGGGCTGTGAGCTCAGATGGCAGCTCATGTCCAGTTTCTCATCAACCATCATGCCCAAGTCTTTCTCCTTAATGCTGCTCTCCATTACTTCCCCACCCAAACAGTATCCTTCCTTTCCAAGCCAAGGACTGTCATTGCCTCCTCAGGACATGCTTACTGGATCCAGGTCTCAAGGCTGTGGCACTGCCTGCCCCAGCCCCAGCCCCATACCTTCTGTCCGTCGGCGTACACGGCGTATCCGGTGACTCGCACTCCATTGGAGGACCCCTCAGCATCAATGGTCACAGGTAACCAGCTGATAACAAGGATACCTGGAGAGGGCCCAGCTTCTACTTGGACATCCAAAGGAGCATCAGGTGTGCCTGAGAGAGAGCAAACACATTTTCCTCTTGCTTACCTGGTTACATCATAAAGCAAAACTTGGGTTAGAATCCAAGAGCAATCCAAGACTTGGCCCTGCAGAGCTGAGCTAGGATAGCCAGGAAAGGACAGGCAGAACCAGAGGAATATAAAGTGCTCTTGTTCTGTGAAAGATTTATGCAGAGTAAAGAGCTTTGCAAAAGTAGCTGAGGCCAAGATGCAGCAAACCCTTGGAGCAAGGTCATGGCAAAGCAGCCCTGAGGCATGCTGCTCCAACCAGGTGTCTCCCCAGAGCAAACCAAACCAAAAGGGAGGATAAAATCTTAACATAAAGGAAGAAAAACATTAAGACAGAACAGTACAGCACCTCAGGCTTTGGGCCCTAACCAACTCTCTCCCTTTCACCTCATGGTTTCCCAGCCAAGGCTGAGCACATTACTCCAAGCACTCCATGCTCAGAGACCATGGGCACCACCTCTCTGACCTGCAGGGACCTTCTCCAGCCTGGTGGCTTGGCAGTGCTGGAGCAACCTGAGTGGATATCTGATACCTGCTAGTGGGGTAGTGAAGTGTATCACAGCTGAGTTCTGCTCCTGCCCCTCAGGCACCTCTTCCCAAGGTGTCTTCATGGGCTTGGCCTCCAGCTTGGCCTCATAGTGTGTGCTGGGCTGCAGGTTACGGAAGGTGTACCAGTAGACCCCTGGTTTGGTCGTGTCACACTCCTCGCCGTTGAGGTACACCACGTGGCTGTAGTTGCTGTTGCAGGGAAGCCACGTGACCTCTGCTGCTGTGGCAGTGACACTTCTGACTTGGAGCATAGTTGGTGACACACAAACGTCTTGGCCCACAAAGCAGGTGCAGCGCAGCCTGTCAGACCTGCCCTGCTCCGTCACAGCCTGCACAGACACACGGTAGGCCTTGGTGTGTAGGTCCAACTTCTCGATCACTGCTTTGGTCTGAAGGCCACTCTTCACGTTCTGACGGAGCTCTTCATCCACGTAGATGTTGTAGCTTTGGATGTCTGGGCAGCCAGCTGGCAAAAGAGGTGGTTCCCAGCCTACAACTATGCTCCTGGCAAGCTGCTTGATCAAAGTCAGTTTTCTTGGGTAAGGCACTGCTGTGTGACTAACAGGTTCCTCCTGGTCTCCTTCTGCTCTACTGGCCAATGGGCTGATGCTACTCTCTTCAATGGAGAACTCACTCTTATCTCCACTGCTGGTGCTTGCACTGACCAAACTTTTCTCCTGGTATGAGCTATGGGTGAGATCATTGAGCTCTGAAGGCAGGAACGTCAGGAGATCATCATCTGAGACTCGCTCAACAAAATTGGAGGGGACCAGCCCACGCCGGCCATCCATCAGCTCCCCTAAACAGAAAACAGGACACCTGTTACCACTGCACCTGCCAGGCAGCCTGTCAACCCAGCTCTGAGGACATCTACTCCAGGTCACCACTGCTCTGCAGTCAGGAATGGAAAAAACCTCCAGCAGGTTATTCTTAGCAATGTTTCCTGCATTTCTAGGGCTTCCCTTGTTGGCCACAGTGAGAGACTCACTGCTCTGCACATTCCAGAGCCAACTAACTAGGAAGTTGGGTTTTGTAGTTAGCTGAAGGGTTTCTCCTTCTTAATTATCCCATTGTTCCTCTTAGCTTAAGGGTCTTTTCTAGGCTGACCAATCTATGCAGATTGATGACTTTATGTCTTCTCCCAGCCATACAGATCTGGGGGGTTGTAGTACTTCCTCAAGCAAGTCCATCTTTCCAGCTCTGTGTTCAGCTCTGACCTTCCTTTTAGCTCCCTCTTTTAAGCTACCTGGACTAAAGATGTCTCAAAAGGACTGTGGGGACAAGGGATACACAGCACTTGGTACGTGAAAGACCCACCAAACCACACACTAGCAGTGCACAGGGACTGCACTGCCTTCCCCTTCCAAACTCTACCTACAGCAAACCAACTGCAAGCAGGGAAAGCAGAAAAGGTTAGTAAATAACCTTTTTATTCTTTAAACAATAAACAAACAAAGGAATAAATGAATACAGGAGCAGCTTGGGAATAGAAAGAAAAGAAGAGGCAGAGCAGTCAGAACAAGCAGTGCAACATACATGCATTTGCCTCAGCTCTTGCAAAGCACCTCAGGAAATAAGGATCCTTCAGCCCTTCAGAGGCTCCACAAAGACAGCTCAGAACAAATTTACAGCTCTTGGTTTGGTTCCATCTGCCTCTTAATCAACCAGGATCATGTTTGCAAAGGGGCCAAGACAGAATCACACTGTGTGACACCAACGAGGATCACAACTGGAGTTTGGATTGATGATCCTAGCACCTCTCTGCCAAAAGAGCAATGGAGCCCATCACCTGCTGCAGTCCCTGGCTCACTGCTCACACTGGAAAAGGGATACAACCCATCTGCAGAAGGTGCCCAGGGCTGAACATGTTCCTCTCCATGGCAAGGGAGGAACCTGGGGCTGAAACCTGGAGCTCTGCTGAACGCAGCAGCAAAATTCCCACTGAAATCCCTAGAGCAGGATTCCATCTTTTAGACTTAATTTAATCATAAGTAAACCCTTTTCCAACAAATCTGCTCTTCCCTCTAACAACCTAACTTTGGGCAGAAAACCTCAAGATAAAAGTTTCAAGATTCACTTAACTCTTCTCATTTTTTGGAGAGAGACCAACTCTCCACAGCAGTTTGGTCACACTTTGTTCTGCTAACACCCACCTTCAAAGAAGCCATCCTCATCCATGTCTCCATAGATGTAAATGTATTCTCCAGCAGTCAGTGGAAGCTCTGCCTCTGGATTTTCATTAGGCCCATCAAAAGGATTGTAGCTGAAATATTAAGGACAACGTAATTTGCAGAGGAACTTTCCCAGCAACACATTCAAACTGTATTGTTGATAAGCTTACAATTCACTGGGAATTATTCCACTTTTCCAAGCAGCAAATTACACAAAAGCCAAGACCATAGTTTACATAAAATAACATTCAATAGCCAATTTTCTGAGGAGCAGAACAGATGTTTTCTGATGTCTGCAGGAACTATGAGGATGCTGAGGGGACTGGAGCATCTCTCTCCTGAGGAAAGGCTGAGGGAGCTGAGGCTGTTCAGCCTGGAGAAGAGACACTGAGAGAGGATTTTATCAATGCATAAAGGTATCTTAACGGTGGATGTCAAGAAGATGCAGCTAGACTCTATTCACTGGTAGCCAGGGACAGGAAAAAGGGTAACAAACACAAACTGAAACAGCCTCCATGGTGTTTCAATGGCATAAAGCCATTCCCCCTTGTCCTGTCCTTCCAGGCCCTTGTCCTAGGTCCCTCTGCAGCTCTCTTGGAGAGCCCCTTTAGGCACTGGAGCCTTCTCTTCTCCAGGCTGAACACCCCTAGCTCTCCCAGCCTAAAAATCTCATAGAGGAATGAGATATATGATCTATATGATCATATTATCCACTCCTAGCAGTGGTGAATCCTAGAGAAGAGAGTGAACTAGGCAACTCTGAGATAACCTAAACACACAGACCGAAAGAACTGATCCTTCAGTACCTGTATCGAGCTAAGAACACCTGAAGCTTGGCAGGACCTTGGCTGCTTGGCTCTGGCATGAGAGAGATGCTGTCAACATCCAGCTCCTCCATTTCACTCGCAGTGTCCACCTAAAGGCATTAAAGGTAAAGGATGTGAGTAAAGGAACAGTCAAAGGGTTCAAACATCAGAGCACAAGTCCTCTGAGTTCATGTTTGGAGCTTGGGGAATAAATGTGGCTTTACTAGTGGATAAATGGAGCCATTTATGGATAATAAATGGAGCCTTACTGGTGGGTGAACGAGACCTCACTGGTAGATAAACATGTCCTTACTGGTGGATGAATGTGACCTTACTGGTGGATAAACGGACCTTACTAGCAGATAACCAGACCTTACTGGTGGATAAATGGAGACATTTATGGATAATAAATGGAGCCTCACTGGTGGGTGAATGAGACCTCACTGGTGGGTGAATGAGGCCTCACTGGTGCTCCCAGCAATGCATTTATTTCCTCCCTGTTCAGCCCAGGCTGTGAGGGACTCCCACACTGACCTCTGGAGTGGGGCAGGATTTGGGACTGTTGTGCATGGACTCAGACTTTGAAGAGTTGGACTGAGACTCCACTTTCTTGGCTGCTCTCTGAGCACTGGTGGCAGGAACCAGGGAGCCCATGGTGGCCTCAGGCACCCGCTGCGATGTCTCCAGCTCGTGTGGCCCTTCATTGTGCACCTTCTTGGTGCTCTGCTGAGAGAGCAGCCCAGGAGCTGTGGGTTCTGCAAGAAAATCACCTTGCCATTACTCAGAGCCATAGGTAGGACACCAAGTCAGCAGTGAAGAGCCCAAGTCTCCATAAAAGTGCCTCAGACTGCACACCCTGAGCAACCTTTGCCCACAGAAATGCCAAGTTCTCCTCATGGCTACAAACTGAATCCAAAGTCTTTCCAACAGAAAGACACAGAGCTCCCCAAAGTGAACAAAACATTGGCATCACTTCCTTTACCCCTTTCCAGTTAACCCAACAGTTACCCTTGTCCCAGCAGGGCTGTGGGCTGGAGCTGCACAGAGCAAGGGGAAGCTCTGAAGTCACCAGGGTGGAGGTGAGGAGGTCGATTTTCCCTGCTTGCAACCGGAATTGGTGGAGTTCCTGGGACAGGAGGCTGAATTGCTCTGTCTGACTGCGGCACTGGTCTTCTAGATCCTTCACTCGAGCCTGACAGGAGAGACACAAGATGGGGCACAAATCCATATCCAAACATTAAGGCAGCATTCACTGCATCTTGTCAGTGGGTCCCAGGCTCCAAGAAGCTAAAGGTGTGCCCTGTCCAGGCATTGGGAACTGGCAGCTCCACACCTGGAGTCTTTTTAAAACTCATCATCTCTGAGGAAACTGCCTTCAAACTCCCATAAGAAATATCCCTGGAATGCTGGGCTTGAATTTCAATAGCCTAACCCAGCCCTGCACAAGACCAGAGATAAATCAAAGATAAATCAGCCTTGAAAAGCAAAAGATTGAAAAGGCTTTGCATGTTCTTAGAGCAGTAAAATCATATCTGCAAAAGGAATTGCTCTCTCATCACTCTAGAGGTTCCAGCAAGCTCCCAAAACCTTACCCTGGTCTCTTCCCCACCAATCTGGGCAGGAGGGACTTGATTGTCCCTCCAGCCCTTGGCTCCTCCAGACACTGGGAAGGGCAGAGAGCATCAGCACCTTGGCCTGTGCTGCAGAACACTCCTCTGATGTGAGAAACCCACACTCATGCCCACCAGGGATGATTTGCCCCAGGAAAATGCATGTTGAGGACAAGAAAGCAACATTTCAGCAAGATGAGATGCAGAGGAGCCCTGGGAAATCCTAAGGAGAGGGAAGGACATTCCTACCAGAGAGCCATTTGTATTTCCTCCTATTTTCTTCTGCCATCTCTAGAACTTGCCCTTACAAGATGCTGTTGAGTCTTGGCTGTCCTTACACATCCACACACTCCCCCCGGGCTGTAGGCAAAACAATTCCTAGGAGATCACAACTGCTCCTTTCCCTCTTCTCACTCTTTTTTTGTAGGCAAAATGCACCAAAACAGTTTGTGCTCTCCAAAATTTTCCATTCTACAAAATAGGTTTGAAGTGGGTTCTTTCCTCCTTCCAACTCAAAAAAAAAAGATGCCTTGAAATATTACGTGAGACAGAAAGCCTGGCTTTAGGCAGCTCTAAAAATAACCCATTTGACCTGGAAAAAGCTTTCTCTCTGGTCTCAGAGTAACACAAACCCTTTGTAGCTGCTCCCTAACAGTTTCTGAGGGTCTATGTGTTATTATTTCACTGTGATTTATCTGTTTAGATGTGTCAGTTTATCCCTTGTTCCCTTCACAACTCCCTAAGTGCTTTCAGGCTTTAAGGAGAGCCTGGTGAAGGCTCTGAAATCAGATTCCAGGAGTAACTTCCAGAAGTCTCTGTGTTCTCCTCTTGCTCAGAGCCAACTCCTTGTTTACCAAGGCACCTTGCACAGGATTCCACTCCATCAGGAGTGTTTGGATTTACTTACAGTTAAGATTTTTTCCACACAAATTCTTCTCCCCTCATTACATCTTAACAGAGAAAAGAAACCATCAACAGTCAGATTAACTGGACCAAAGTAAGGTTTCCTCTAGGTCAACATCCATCCCTGATTCCACCTTGGGATACATCCTACAGCAGGTACAGAACCATTACAGGACCAGAGAGTGATTTCCCATCTTCTCTGGAGACCTGAGCCAGCAGCTGCATCTGGACAGTGTTTAATGCATCATAATAGTACCTTGTTCTGTAAATTTATTAATCACAGTTGAAATCCATTTATCCAAGAGCCTGGATAATCCACAGTTTAATTCTAAGACACCTAATTAGTCAGGTTTCTTTTTAGATTGATCAGATCTGTGATTCAAACCACCAGACAAACATCCCTTAAGTACTACTGTCACACCATACACAGTGGGGACTGCTAACAGGCTACTTGCAGGGGTCACAGACAACTGGGAAGCAGCATGTTTCCAGGGGGGAATATCAGTGCTGGGAGGCAGGGGGATAAGGAGGAGGGGGAAAAGGAAGAGGAGCCTAAAGATATGGCCAGGAGCTTCAGGGAACCAGCAGGTATCAAGTCCCAGACACAGAAAAGACTTCTGTGTCTATACCCAGTCCAAAGTGGGGAGAAAGTGGAGCCTCACACAGTTGACACTGTGCAGGTGATTGCCAGAAGAGGCTGCAAGAGCAGGAGCAGAGCTTGGGGGGAGTCAGTTTAACCCCCAGTCCAGGAACTCAGATGTTCCACACCAAGCCAGAACCAACCACCACCAGCTCAGCTCTGTCCTCTGTGACAGTCTCCTTGCCTGGTCTATTCCACTTCTCCTACAGATGATGGTCCCCATCCAGATGTCCCTTGTTACCTTTCTCCATATCTTCTCCTATGTATATCTGAGGTCAGAAAATCCTGATCTTGCTAGAAGGGAACTCTACAGTTGTGCAGTCCCAGCTCCTGCTCAAAGCAGGGCTGATGCCAAAGGGATTAAAGGAACACCCATAACTCCACATCAATGCAGCTCCTACTTCTCCAGGATGGGGGGATACCCTATAATGTCTTTTCCTACAAGTTCCCAACACTTTAGTTGCCTTTTTGGCCAGCCTTGTGGTTGCTATTTAACAAACCTCCTACATCACATCCTGCATCTCCTGTCCCATAGGGAATTCTGAGCCCACCACTGTGTATGACACAGCTGCCTCTCCTCCATGTGCCTTGCACAGTGTCACTTAATGTCTCCATCCCTCATGAGATCTGTCAGATCTGAAAGTGTTAAAGCAGTTTTCTATCAGCTCCAAACCTCATCACTTCCATATAAACCTTTCCAAATCCTCTGGGAACAGGCTGGCACAGGTCCCACACTAGAACCTCGTTAGTTACTATCTCTCCTAGGAAAACTACTATCCACAATCTCTCCTTCCCATCTCCCATCCAATTCCAAAGCCACCAGGCCCTGTCTTCTTCTCCACAACACTCATTTGCAATGACTGCACCATTCAAAACTCCAAAGTTTTGAAGGAAACACTTCACTCTTGGACTGCAAGTAGCTCCCGAAGGATATTTAAATGGAGAAGGGACCCAGTTGGACAATTCTAAAAATCTGGAATTGCCCAAAAAATTAAGCTCCTAATGCTAATTGGTCAAGAAGCAAAGGATTTAAAGAAAAAAGCAGCTGCTCCATCAAGCTCAGAGTGGGAGCTCCTGGGATTCCACTTGTTTCCTGGCAGTGACACTCTTGCAATCTTTTCCAGAGTATAGTTAACAAGAATATCAAGCAACTGTCAAAGTCAGGACAGAAGGCAAAAGGTCCTGTTTGACAGGATGAGAGCAGTACCTGCATGCAATCCAAGGTACTCTGGGAGCAAGAAGAAAAGCAAAAAGAAGAGACAGAAAACCACATCAGGTTACACCAGCCAAACCCAACACTCTGCCAGAGATATCCCAACCCTCAGGCTGAATGAGATTGTTTTCTCCCCAGCTTCTTGCCTTGTTCCACACTGAGATTCCCACCTCATTCCCAAAGCATCTGCTGGCTAAACAAAAGCCAAATCCCACATACAAACACACAGAGGCACTTTCTGAAGGTCTCAAATCATAGCGTGCTCTGAGTCAAATGATAAGAAACTTTGAGTGTCAGTGCTAAATTCCAAGCCCTCTTATCCCATAAAATCAATGGAATGGACACTTTGTGGCCAGACCTTTCTCCAGATCTGAGCCCACAGAGTGCTGGGAATCATGGAATGGGTTGGGTTGGAAGGGACCTTAAAGCTCATCTAGTCCCACCTTCTGCCATGGGCAGAGACACCTTCCACTAGCCCAGGTTGCTCCAAGCCCCATCAAACCCACATCAAACCTCCTTCCCCTAAAAGCTGCTCAGAACCCAACTAAACAGCAGCTGCCTCAGCTGATCCCATCTAAAAAGCAGCTGAAAGTACAGATGTTCTCAAGGAACATGGCAATGGGACATCACGTCACATCCCCATGATATTCCCCCAG